TCTTATGCTGGATTCGACGGATTCTCCCGATTCTCCCGCCCAAAGGAGTCAGCTCGAAGTTCTCGAACGACGCTGCCTTTGCTTCTCTACGCCTTTGTATCAGCAGGTGTTTCTTCTTCTCTGCACTATCGTTTCCAATTCATGTCGTACGGATCCAGCGCTTTTGACGCGGCTCTGTAGTTTCCTCCACTTATCGGCATTCATTTCCTAGTGTGTTAATTGTTATGTGAAATGTCAACCTTTTTGTTCTGTCGTGGAAATTTACTTTACGTTGCTGGTGTTGATCTGGAGCTAGGTTTCGACGTTTTATGTCAGTGTAGTTTGTGGAGGTGTTGGCATTGCTTTGCGTTAGTTTTAAATCGCTGCTAGTCGAATTATTGTTATTTGTTTATATTTTGGCCAAATAGTATTCTTGAACATTAGGACGGATGCATTTCTTTTCGGCAGTTTTTTTACTTTTCCTTGTGATGTTGGTTTTTAGTGAAGACTGTTGTGAAATCTTGTATTACTGAGGTTATCATTTTGTAGTATAGCTATTTGGTTTCGTCTTGGAGGGTTTTTGGTTATTTACTGTTGTAATTTTTTGTGGCTAGAACAATTTAGTCAGATCTGGTTTTTACAGAGTGAAATTATGCCAATAAGGATGGTGATCTGGTTGTACATGTGGTTTTTGGGATGGTTGCTGAAAGAACACTGCAAGGAATATGGGGAAGTTCAAATTATGATTTAGCTGACCTCTTATAAATTGATGATCAATTTTATGTCGTGTTTTCAATTGCTGAATCATTGCCAGCAGTCACTTGTGGGGTTGTTTTAGAGTATATGTTCAATCTAACCCTTGTTTGAGGAAAATATTTGGATTTCATCTGACATATGGACTCAAGTTGCTCCTTAAGGCAAGAGTTGACTGTTGTGGATCTCATCTCACTATGGCATTAATCATTTGATCTGATAGCATATTTTACTGATGTTTGGTTTCTACTATCCTCACAGGCTACTGTAGGACCGTGCAATATTCCAAAGCCTAGTACATGGAGTCCTGTTGAAAACAGCAAATGGAAAAGGTGTGTACATTTTTTCAGTTATGTGCATGTTTCGTGTGCTACTGCATTCTGGTTACATGGTCATGTTTCAGTTACAAATTTTATACTCTGTGCTGATAAGTGGATTAGACGTCATAATCTTTAAGGGCTCATGGAGAATATATGTGGCCTAGATTTTGAATATAGGGCTGCTTTCAAGTCACTGGGTACTTGTGAGTTAGAGAGTTGCAACCGAGTGCAAGATGTTTGAATTTCTCACAAAATGCAGCCAGAGATATTGTTGCAACAAATTCTGAAGAATTGTATAGAAGGATTCTATATTAAGTTGAAATTCTATATAACTTGTATAGGACATCTACTTCTAATGTTAATGCAACATGTGGTTATAGAAGGATAATGAAGGGGTTTTCTGACATTTGAGGTCATATTTTTTGACTGTATCAAAGTTTGATCTCTTTCAAGGCAACACATCTATGTGTGTGCATACATATTTCTCTTGGGTTTCTTCTCTAAAACATTTCATATGATTTATGTAGTTGGCAGGGACTAGGAGGCATGGCTTCCACTGAGGCTATGCGCCTCTTTGTGAAAATACTAGAGGTATGCATCTATGAGTTCTCCTGGTCCATCTTTGTATGAATTTGACTGACAACTTGAGTTAATTGTTGTCGTTTTTTCCATTCTTATTCTGCTTTGCGTAGGAAGAAGATCCAGGATGGTATTCAAGGGCATCAAATTTTGTTGAGGAGCCTGTTTTGGATGTTCAAATGAATGTGAGTTGTTTTATCTTTATTTTAGGTGATTTAATTATTTTATAAAGATTGGTTAGTAAATTAAAATTTATTTTGATATGAATCATATATATTATAGTTAATATAACATAAACATAGAAACTGAAGAAATGGACTATATTGAGGGGCACTGATGCGGTGTCTTGTCAATTATGTAAAAGATAGAGAATTACAAATGTTCTCATTGCTGTTGCTCGTATCATATATTGCACACATCAGTTATTATATCATGATTGCAGCTCATCTTTAGTTTTCTGCTGCCACCACTGTACATTAAGATCATACAAGTATACTTCTCAATGGCATGTTAGTGTCCTTTCACCACTTATCAGTCTCCATCATCAATGTCTCACCATCTGTGCAGGAAGTTAAAAATTGTAGCTATCATCACTTTTCTCTTCTGTTAACTCTCAATAAATGTGTAGTGCCTCATATTGATTATGGACAGATATAAACTGAAGATTTTCTTACATAAATCTTTCAAAGAATTTATTCAAAAGAACATAAATCATTCAAAGGATGAGTACCATACATATTGTTTCTTATCACTGTAAACTTGTATTTGTGTAGGCATGTTTTTTATTATGCTTTGCTGTTTTCTTTGTTGCACAACATATGGCCTGAAACTGTAAGGAGAAGGGAAACTGACTAGTTGAAACCTATGCTCCTCAACTACAATCATTTTCCTCAAGTGTTTCCTTTGGTGCTGGAAGATTTTTTCTTTCATTCACTTTACACTTTATATAGTTTTTCTCTAAAACAAAAGTAATATGATGCCTATTTTCTAACTCTTTTACTTGTTTGCAGCACACTTCAAAGGTTGAGCATGTCATTGAGAATGGAACTTCCTACCCTGAGACAAAGACTATTGCGGCTGAAAATGGAAATGTGATGGAAACTCAGGATAAGGATGTTGTATTGGAAGGCCTTGGTTCGGTTGTTATCTATGATCAATGGACTGCCCCTCCAATATCTGGCCAACGCCCCAAAGCCCGATATGAGGTATTGTGACTCCATCTCTTGAAATCTGGTGCTGTCTGATTCCTTTTCTTGGTTCCTTTTCTATCCACTGAACAAAGTTTTATTATTTTCAGCATGGAGCAGCAGTTGTCCAAGACAAGATGTATATATATGGTGGAAACCACAATGGGCGCTATCTTGGAGACATTCATGTATTCTCAAGTTTTGTGGCTTTCTACCATTGCAATGATTTCTTGTGCAGATTATCTTTTCTTGAATCTTGATTTGTGTCTTAATGCAGGTTCTGGATTTGAGAAGTTGGACTTGGTCCAAAATTGAGGCCAAATCTGGGCCCGAGTCCCAGGAATCGCAGTCTCATGCAGCGTCAGCCTCCTGTGCTGGTCATTCTCTGGTCAGTCTGGAGCTAAATTTCTCTTTGTTATCCATCATCTCTGAAAACAAAATTTTAACGAAATATAATAAATTACATCATATACTTACTGGTGTACTTTTAGTCATTACTGGATATGTTTCTTGATTGAATCTTCTCTGTTTATGCAGATACCCTGGGACAACAAACTTCTTTCAGTTGCTGGTCATACTAAAGATCCTTCTGAAACTATCCAGGGTATATGTATATATTTTCATAGTTCCTTTCAGGTTATATTGAGTCAAACTAATTTTTTTGGGGAGATAGGACTCCTGTGGAAAAGGGAAGCAGTTGTGATAGAATAATTATGGGTACTGTTTTCTAGACGGAGAAAGTTGAGGAAAAAGATTATAAAACCATTCTATTATTTTTCCTTCGTTATTCTCTTGAATTTTGTGTGATTTCTCAAGTAAATGGATGCACGTTAAGAAAGGAAACAACTTTGTGGTAATGGAAGCTCATTATTTTATTTGATTTTCACATTATGTTAACACATATGTACAGTGAACTCCTTTTTATTTCAAATAATTGAAACTCTGCTGTGTATAATGGAATTGTTTCTGAGAAAATTCAGTAGTGCAAAGGACCCTGAAATTTTTTTTCAGATGAAATAGAAATCATTCTATGTAGCAACTAATACTATCTATTTGTCCCAGTTAATGCTGTATCATCCATTATATTTTTCTTTTAAAAATGCTTTACACTTCTGTTCTCTGTTCCTATGTCAGTGAAGGCATTCGATCTGCAGACTTCAACTTGGTCAACCTTAAAGACTTATGGGAAACCACCGGTACTTATCTTTTCTGGCTGTTATGTATCTCTTTTCTCTCTTTAATAGCTAGAAAATTATGTGTTAATAATAACATATTCTGTTTGGTTTGGTCTCCTCTCTCTTCATTTTCCCCTGTTCCCCTGCCAAAGAAAAGGCTGGTACTCATTCTTGGATGTCCTAGAAATTGTGAGCCCCCAAGGCAATGTCAGCATCACATAGTTGCTTATATTCTTGAAAACACAAAAACCATATGTTCAGACTTAAAAATAATTGCTAATTCATATGTTTATACACAAAAACATAATATGGTGATTTTCCTGTGTCTGGACTGTACTCAAGTATGATAAAAACAGTTTTCTAAAATATGTCCACATATGTAATCTTAGAAAATTTTTTCATTTACCATATAAAATATTAACGTATGTAAATCTAGAGAAAACTAGAAAATATTTTCATTTGTCAAATGGAGCCCAAAATTTTTTTATTTTCATTTTGCTGTGATGGTGTGAATTGCTGGGTAGTTTTATCTAAAACTGCATATAGTTTTGGGAACTCAGAAGTTTAAACTAAAGACTATTGCAGTAGAATTGGGACTTATATGTGAATAAAAAAGGTGAGCATATGAATGCTCGACTACCTTCCAAATGAAGATCCTTGAGCTGTCGCTGATGATTATTATTGTCATTATTTTAACTTCGTCAGTGTTCTCATATATTTTTTATAGGAAAAGAAATATTATTCAAAGCATGAGAACAGAAAAAAGTACAAGTAGACAGGATAAGATATCCTCAGAAAAAAACCCCCAAAAATGAGCAGGAGAAAAAGAAACAAGAGAGGGACAAGGAAGGCTCAGCATAGAGTAGCTATTCTAATGTATTCTGAAGATTCTAAGCATCTATTCATTCTTTGCAGGTTTCACGTGGGGGTCAATCAGTGACACTAGTTGGAACAACCTTGGTGATATTTGGAGGGCAGGATGCAAAAAGATCACTCTTGAATGATCTGCATATACTGGACCTAGAAACCATGACCTGGGATGAAATAGATGCTGTGTAAGATAAAGCTTCCTTTCATTATCATTGGTTTTCTTCATTTTATTTGTCAGTTTTCCTTGTTAATGAATATTAAGGAGTGAAAGTCATCTGATTGGCAATTTACATCAGTAATGGTACTGGTTCAAATAAGTTGTATTTCTTCCTGGCAAAAGGTATATCAATGCGATCTTAACCAGATTGGGCTTCTGTATTTGAATTTGAACCAATTTAAATCAGACAAAAGTGATATCAGAGAGTTATTAAAAATGATAAACATATGAATTTAAATAATTTAGCTAAATGAATCTGTGAAGCTTGCAATGTTTTTATATTGTAATATTTATAACTAGACTCAAACCCTGGTATAAACTCTGAGTATTATTTTTTGTTCATGTTCTTTCAGGGGCGTGCCTCCTTCTCCAAGGTCTGATCATGCTGCTGCAGTACATGCAGGGTGTTACCTTCTGATTTTTGGTGGGGGCTCACATGCAACTTGTTTCAATGATCTACATGTTCTTGATCTGCAAGCTGTAAGACAACATTCTTTGCGTTTTTTTCTGTTATGTGGTGGGTTGTTCTATGTGTTTCTCATGTATTTATAATTTATAGATGGAATGGTCAAGACCAATTCAGCAAGGTGAAATACCAACTCCACGGGCTGGACATGCTGGTGTGACAGTCGGGGAGAATTGGTTTATTGTTGGTGGTGGTGACAATAAAAGTGGTACATACCAGTTTTTATCATTTAGGTTTAATATTCACCGGTACCCTTTAAGAAGTTCAATATTTGAGACAAAAATTGATTTTGAAATGACGGTTGAGCGCATGAGTTGTTGGATGAAACTTACTTCACTTTGATTATATGTTGAATATCACTGTATTCAAAGGGTTTATGGCATATTAAGCTGATTTTAGTGCTCAAGCTTAAGATAAAGGTCCAAAATGATCCATTATAGAAAAAACCTAATCTGTTTATATTATAAAATGATCTTTTTCAAGTCTGTTCATGTTTGCGGAGAAGAAAGAGGCATCAACTATTGAACAACCTTGCCCACCATAATGAACTGAAATTTGCTTGAAACTAGTCGAATATTTCCAATGGTTGGATAAGAGTTGAAACTCGTACTCTATTCCACATTTTTGTGATTGATGAAGGAGACTCTTAAGGCTTCAGTTATGTTTTTTTTTTTCGTTTTTGCCTTCCCTCGATTATATGCTGTAATTATAAACATGTTGAAGAGATTATTTATGGAAGAGTTAGATTCATTTTTTTTAAAATAAAAAGTTAGATTATTATATAATATAAATTTTTTCTGATGTCTTTAACTTGTGAAAAGATTATTTTCTTTCACAAGAAATAAAATATGTTGATGTTTTGGAAGATAAGGAATAATAACAGTGACTTTTGTTAGGCGTACTCTGTGAATTAAAATTCTTTATTGCATATAATTGATATATGTTTCCTCATGTTTATGACTTGCAGGGGCCTCAGAGACTGTTGTTCTCAACATGTCTGCTCTAGTTTGGTCAGTTGTCACTTCGGTTGAAGGGCGTGTCCCTCTTGCAAGTGAGGTAATTACTTTTTTCAGTAGTTTTTCTGAGCTGGCACATGACTCACATTCCTGTTTCTGTTTCTTGAGCCCTTCATTCTCAAGGTTTTTGATTACTTTGAATGAGACTAAAAGATGAAGTTACCTGCTTTTAGTTTTCTTAAAATCATATGCAATTATACACACACCACACAGAAGTGAAGGCATCACAGCTCATAGGCAGCTCCTATATGAAGTAGTCTTACAATTTGTAATTGTTGTCTTGGAGTGCATAATACATAGCAAATTGCTCAAGTAGTGTCTTAAATTATCCTAACTAATATCATTATCCTCAGTTTGACTGCTCACAGGATTTCCTTTAAATGATTGTTTCATAGTTTTTCACTTGTCAGTTCTGCTCCATGATTATTACAGCATCTTTATAAACTTGAAAATGACTTATAGGAACAATCAACTATGTTCTAATTTAAATCTGGTATCACACTTTTCATAACTTTAATATTGTCCTTGGAAAATCATGACATTGTTATGTTATTCAGGAGGAATATAGACTGTGGACCAAAGATACACATAGTTTACCCTCCTCTTATCCTTCCCCTTCCCTTCCTCCCAAAACCAGAACAAAGTGTTAACTAATATTAAGAAGAAATGATTAACTAATGGTCTTCTGTTCTATGTTATGCTGGCCATATGATATGAAGTTGTAATGCTGTGCGCTCTGCTAGTGAGATAAGAACTTCATGTTCATTTTAAGATTATATAGAAAAATAAGGTTTTATTTGTTCCTCTTTAATGAGTTTGCATAAATGAGTTAATGATCTAGATGTCTTTCCATTAAAAATCGTAAAGTTCTGCAAGAAATAATTAATTGCATGTGGTCAGGGTGCAGGGAAGGTACTCTTCTTTTCTGGTTACTGTAGTATCATTTGGATATTTTTAAAAGTGTTTTGTTTCCTATTGCAGGGCTTGAGTTTGGTTGTCAGCTCATATAATGGTGAAGATATACTCATATCCTTTGGAGGATATAATGGCCGGTATAACAGTGAGGTAGGAAGAGTAATTTCTACTTATTCTTCTGCTCAAGTTTGTTCCTTATTATAATTTCTGTTGCTGTTAGGTCAATGTTCTTAAACCAAGCCACAAATCAACTTTACAATCAAAGATAATGGAGACTCCTATTCCTGACAGTGTCTCTGCTGTGCATAATGCTACAAATGCTACTAGAGATGTGGAGTCTGAGTCTGAAGCTGGCCAAGAAGCAAAAGTTCGGGAAATTGTTATGGACAATGTTGATCCAGAGCCTGTGGTATGTGGTATTTCTTATTGTACTTGTTTTTGGACTCTATAACAATCATCAGAAATTTGGTGTCTGTAAGATATACCAAAACTCTTCTCCCCCTCCCCCCCAAAATAAGTAAGCAAAACTCTTCTTTCTTTCTGTGTTCGTCTCGGGGAAAAGGTTGGGCTGGTCATCAGAGGACAAATTCATATATGTTCACTGTATCTTTTGTCTAAAAGCCATGTTTATATTGGTAGCTTTTTATTGAACTTAGTTTTAAGTGACTTTCTTGTTCACATGTACTTGTTCAGGTCAATTTGGATGATGCACTTGTATCTGAATCATTACATGTTTTTGGGCTTGTTTTTAGGAATTTTAAATTGAAAAATATGTTTCTTTTATTTGTTTTCTTTTATATAAAATTTTTCTTCTTGCCGAGTTTGTGCAGTCCTTTCTGCCTAAACTTCTAAGGTTTGATGCAGAAGTCTAAAGGTCCGGAAACCAGTGAACAAATTATCGCAACCCTTAAGGCAGAAAAAGAAGAATTAGAAGCAACCCTCGGCAAGGAGAAGCTACAGTCTCTCCAGCTTAAGCAAGAGTTAGTGGAAGCTGAAACTCGAAGTGCAGACTTGTACAAGGTAACCATAAGCATTGGTCTAAGTTGCTTTTTCATGTGAATTAACATGTGAGATATATGACACATAGTATCTAAGGTTTTTCAGTTTTCTCAAAATTCTCTAGCTTCAGTTACTTGATAATTAAGAAGCAACTATCATAGTTGGTTTGCAAATTTTTTGTTTGCAACGTAATGTGTCCTTTAATGTTGAACAAATATCCTGAAGGTTTGTGTATTCACATTGTAGGAGCTTCAATCTGTACGGGCCCAACTTGCCGCTGAGCAGTCAAGATGTTTCAAATTAGAGGTATTATCTTCTTCAATATTGAATTTCTCCCATGAATTGTTTATCTAAGGTAGTTAACTCTTAAATACTTTAAATGGTGAAATTGCTAGCTAATAAGTTTTCTTTCTCATGTTGCTCGATTCCAGTTTGTAATCCTTTCGGTTAGAGTGATCTTACTTGGACTGATTCTATTCAATCTGTTAGTGTTTCCCATGTAGGAAAAGGGCTAAGAAACGTAGTCATTCTAGTCTAATGCTGTTTTTTTTTTGGGGTTGGGGATGGGGGCAAAGTATATCCCTGATTTAGGATTGAAAGAAATTTATTAATTTAATATGCGCCTTCTGAATTTTGTTCACTCTCCATTTAGTTGCTCATAGATTTGTAGGATCAAGTACGGTAGTTTTGGGCCTCCGAGTATATCAAGTCTCATTTAAAGAAAGTAATGTTTCTGCTTTGGAGAAGGAAAGGTGGTCATAATATTTTAAGACTGGTGACCAATGTGTCAAGAGTGGCTTAACTTAATGACCTCTCGTGCTGTAACTCTGATGATTCTTCCATCGTGTTGGAATATATTCTAACTACTACTTCCAGTTTAGAATTGTTGAACGATGTCAGATTGCTGATCACCCTTTCCAACTGACAGGTTGATGTTGCCGAGCTACGTCAGAAGCTCCAAAGAATGGAAACACTACAAAAGGAACTCGAACTCCTGCAGCGACAGAAAGCTGCTTCTGAACAAGCCGCTTTAAATGCTAAACAGAGGCAGGGCTCGGGTGGTGTGTGGGGTTGGCTAGCGGGAAGCCCTCAAAATCAAAATGTTGATGAAGCCTGAAAGTTGTCAAAGCCTTATTAGCTAGCGATTCCTTATATTCAATTCATATTTTTATCAAGTTTTCCAAAAAAAAAAAAATATATTTTTGCTTTTACGACCCACAGTTCGTCGGGTAATGGGAATAAGATATAGAAGCCCAAATGGAACCCCTTTTGGGGTTTTGCATCAATAGATGTTCCTCATTTCTCATTTTTAGAGTTCTGTATTCAAAAGTGAATACCCTATTTTGCTGAGTGAAGGTATAGATCAACATTGTTTGCCGAGGAGTAGGAGAAAAGAGTGGCTTAACGAGGATTATAAATTTCATTTCAGAATGTTATTGGTATTCTAAAATGTTTACTTTCTTCTTCCTAAGTTATCTCGGTCTCATTTTAGTCGATCAATTGCCAGCTTATAATGTTTCATGTCTTCCCAATCCAATTGTAACAGCATGAATCCCATTGAGCAGCAAGCGGAGTATGATTGGTCTCGAAACGAAAAAGAATTCAGATTTAGAACGGTTTTTTAGTCGAACGATATCTAAAACTTAGTGTTTGTCAGATATTAGAGTAAAATCTAAACATATTCTTATGTAATCTGCGTAAAATTTCAACGGCTGTCTGTCTACCTAATGGGCACGCAAACATGTTTTTATCGTCGTTGTTTCCTTACAATTTTGAACAATAATTACCAGTTTGATATTATCTTCTTCCCTTACCTCATGTTAATCAGGTTAAGGATGCATAACTTAAGACATGAGCCTCCCATTATTTTTTAAGATGAAGCAACAACAGAGATAATACAGACAAAAGAATTTAATAGAAATATGAATGCTCAGCGATTTACATTCTGTGATATAAAAGTTAAAAATTTCCAATATATTTGCTAAGGGTTAGACAAAATCAACGTAGTAAATAATGTACGAAACAAATTTGTACTAATTAATACGAAATGATACGAGTATTAGTTGGTATACCTTATAAATCTTAAAATTTTCGTATTCTTTAACTCAAAAAATTAAAAGTTAGTGTCAACTTTTATATAAAAAAAAAAAAATTAATGCAAAATGGTCGAGTCTAGTTAGTTTCGTGTAATATTAGTATATTTTGCAATTTAAATTATGGGTTATTTAATATATTTGTAAATTAATATTTAGATGTATATAAGAAATATTATTACATTAATCTGTAATTTAAAAAAATCCCATGAAATAAACAGCTTTAATCTACTGCAACACCTTCAAATTTTTTTATATAATTATTTTAAAAGTAATGCCACGCATTAAATTTTATTAGTTATAAACTGAAATTAAAATTTTATGTAATATTGTAAATTAACAGTGCATATTAGCCGCCGTATTAGTTTAAATAAACTGATTAGTAATAATTTTAACTTCTTAGTAGTCCAAAATATTCAGTATTTAATTACGTATTATAGTAATTAAACTCAATTATAGCCGTTAATTTGTTATTTTTGATCTCCCTGAAGCGACGAACTTTGGATTTACGCAGAAATTTTTTCATTAGCACGTACCCCTCTAAACGACGACATTCACTTACTAATCTAGTCATTCTCGTGACGACGTGGCGGTATTTCATTGGCTACTCCTTTTCACCGCCGGTCTACCCAATAAAGCCCTAAAGAGGTACAGCTCGTAATCATTTTAGAAACCTAAGCTCTCCAGATTTTCTCACCATCCAAACACCTCTCCCTGGCGCACACACTCTAGGGTTTTTAACTATTCTTTTGGTCTGTGTATTTACAAAATTCTTCCATTTTCTTACTTTCCCGGCGAACAAACGACGTCGGAGCGGGCCAAAGACTGTGAAGAAAGGTAAGTTTCTCATCCATCGAGCCCTTAAGGACTCGATTTTTGGACTTTCGAGTTTGTCTTAGATGATTTCTGTAGTGAGAAAAGGATATTGAGAATGATAGAAATTCTTATATGTATGAGATAATCAAGCAGTTGATGGGGTTTCAGGTGCGTTAATCGGTATGGAGGGGCGTGTATGAAATTGGAAGAGTTTAATGAGGTTGAAGCTTCATTGATGGAGCACGATTTGGAACTTGCGGGTAGTGGAGGGGGTGATGGTAGTTCTAGGGTTTCGAATAATGAAAGATCCGAAGAGGTGGGGGTTAGGGTATGGAACGAGAGTGATGGGACTGTAAATAAAGAAACCGAATCTAGGGTTTTGGAATTGAGAGATGGAGCGGGAACTAATGATGTAATTGAATTGGGAAGTAATCGACTTGATGGCATAAATGATGATGTTGGTATGCAGAATAATGAAGTCGAGGTGCAAATCCATAGATTTGATGGCGAAGATGAGAGAATGGAGCAAACTTTGGTGAAGATTGACAGGAACTTAGAGGCAGAGAAGTTCAATGCTTCACACTATAAGTCCTTGCTGTCTGAGTTTGATGATTTTGTTGCCAACGAAAAGGTGTGTACGGGAACATCTTGGGCAATGAGCTATGGCTTTGAGGTGGGTGATATGGTAT